TACGCAACCTTACTAACCATTCAGGAAACTTTCCGGAATTCCCATGTAACTTTACTAACTTCACAAACTTTTTACATAACTTCAAACACTTTCCACATAAACGACTTTCATCTAACGTACCTAACTTTGCAAGCAATTTTGCAGACTTGCCATATAGCATTTCAAGCTTGACACCCAACTTTACTAAATTTGCGCTCAACTTCCTCAACCATCATTTATGACATATATTTTGCTTTAAAATGCAACAAATAATTTACACTCCTTGAAATGCTCAAGTTTGGTCGCCCAATTACGTTAATAAGCCTGTTGCCTCACTGGCCATTAAAATATGCAAACATCAAGGGTCTGATGGCGCTCAACAGGAGACGGGACAGGAGTAATTTGTACAGAAATGTTCAAATCATTTCAAAGGTTATCAAGTTTAAACCCATCATTAACACGAACAATTAAATCAGGTCTATTCGTGTATATTTTGATACATTGAAAATGTGCGGGTGTTGTATTGGTCACAACTTATTTCAACAAAGAGAGTGTTGATGTTTTCTATCCTTTTGGAAGGTGGAATGATGCACCTTTGTTAATTTAAAGTGAAATCTGACACCCGAAATTTCAGCAAGTGCATTCAAGGGAATTTTAATAACCCTTATTTGATGCAACGCGAGACTGTGCGATGGAACACGTGGTCTGGCGTAATCCGCTAGCACCCGAGAATGATCACGTGACACATATCCTATCAGAATGTTTGACAACGCCGTTGTGCAACGGTGCAAACACATGTGACCGCTGGTTAGCTACTTAGCTACGTGGAGATAGTTTCGGTTAAAATATGTCAAACAAGACACAGATATCTGATTACGATATTTTGCCGGTGGTAATGGCCCGACACACTAGAACATTTTCGATACTATTCCAGCTACTACAAGAGAAGTGGAACTATGAATTTCCGTAAACAAGAAATTCGGCAATTCATAAAAAGATCGAACATCGATGTCTAGGAAGCGACGCAAATGTTGAAGCCTATGGCGAGATTCCGTTGTCGCGATGGCTGGATGTGCAACATATGTCCTTTTGCTATTTTTGTTCTGCAGAAAAACTAAAAAAGAAATAAGTCATGTAATGTCTCTTTATTTTTTATAAATACCTCAGATTTTGCAGCACTGTGCTTCAATTTACAGCATGCAACTTGTCCCCAATTCCCACTACTTTGTAGATTTAGTAAACACAGAATATATTGCCAGTTACCCAACAAAATGTGCTGGGTGAGTTATGAAATCTTCATGTTAGCTATGCACAATTTGCGTGAAAATTATATAAATCTGTTGACTAAAATGTGACTGTAGGATGGCTATTTATGTCGAGTCTTTTCTTGATTTCTTTCACTTTTTCGTATATGCGCATGCGCACACAAGATAAGTCTCATTTACGACAAATCTTCCAAGGATAATTTACAATACTGCAATTGTATAGACTTTTAATTTAACAATAAAGACTTAGCGCGCGATTTTACAACTTTGCATGCTATTTTAAAGACTTACCACACCACCTTACTAACATTCTGCGTAACTTTACTTTTCCACGTCCACGTACTTGCGACATTGCAGACTTCCAACACATATTTCCAACATTACTTCACCAACTGTGCATACAACTTCACAGACTTTCCACACATCGTGAGTGAATTTCCACACAACTTCCCATCTTTTCACTCAACAGTGTATTTTTACTAACTTTGCCCACAACTTGGCAGGCTTCTCACGTAACTCACGCAGGCATCTTTGCTGACTACCCACTAAACTTTGCACATCGCTTTGCAGAATTGCCACGCAGCAATACAGTATACACCTGACGTTGCACCTGCACGCAGACTTTCTTAATAATTCTACACACTTTGTCCACAATTTTACAGTATTGTCAGGCTGCACAATTTCATTTATCCACATTCCATGGAACGTTTCAGACGCTAAAGGTTACACATTTTTCACTTAACTTTACCAACTTTCAACGTAAGATTATCAACATTGCATTTACTTTTAACAGCTTTGCACACAGCTCTACTAACTGTGCATTTTTTTACAGACATATTTCATTGCTTTTCAGCCTTTCCACTTAACTATTCCCGCGATTTTACAGACTTTTCACGTAACTTTATCAACTTTCGCGCAACCTTCAGGCACGCCACAGCAGGCTTTGCACTCCTCTTTGTAGACATTCTATGTAACTTCGAGTAATTTGCATGCTGCTTTGCAGACATATTGCTGAAAGCGTCAAGTCATGACACATGCTTACATTGCCAGGTTTATCTTTTCAAGGCTTCATACATGGACGAATAATTCATTTACATGAACTCCGTACAGGTACTCAATCTCCCATAGATGTAATGTTATTTGTAACATTTTCTATGAATTGACCGTTGTGGGACTATCACAATTTCCTGAAACAATCGGCTGTGCAACACCATTGTACACCCAACTATATCGTACAGGCACAGAACCATTGAACTCAGTACTGGGTTACAAATAGGTTACCACAATCGAGAAATTTTCCGATTGTGATATTTCTTATATATTCTCACCGCCGTTATCTCGTTATCTCATTTATTTAAAATGTATAGACGTTTTCCGATTCGATAAATGAATTTCCAACAGTCGCCCAAAATGCGCTAACGACTCTGTCCATTTCTTTCTTCTCAACTTACCACTTCACGTATGGTAATTTGAATTTACTAGACCAGTGATTGAATTATTTCGGAGTCGTTTTATTATATCAAACAAATCACCGAATAACAGTGTCAAGAGTGAATGTGCGAGATACCAAATTTTCAATTTGCATACGTTTACATAGTTTACATAGTTTACAAATGCGGTTTATGAGCTGTCATTTATCTTAAATTCTCTTTTCTGCTCCCGAGAGTATATACACACACAGGTGGAACTAAGCTTGTTCTGTATTAAGTGAAGTAATTCGTGAATAAATCATTCAAGGGTGCTCCAATAAGTACGTGATAGCATAACATTTTCAATTGAAATACAATTATATATAATCTAAATAAAAATTAGCTTTAGGTTTAACTTTCTTAGGTTCGAAACAATTATTTTTTTATCGCATTAATAATTAGATGGAAGTATTAGACATAATGTGGTTATAGGCGTGGTAGGTGACGGTCTTATATAATAACAAACGTGTGGAATATATTGTTATTCTGTCATTAAAAATTGTTGATTTATATTTCGAGATAACTGTTGATACTATGACGTTCAGTCGAAGGAACACATATCTGCTCAAAGTCAATTAAATCTGACATCGCCAGAGGGTTGGTTACTTTTTTATTTCTCCCTTCTACTGCTTTTGAAAAAAAAAACTATGGTATTCTCTAACTCCGTTGAAAGCCCAATGTTATGGTTGTTAGAGATTCAGATTTGTTGCTTGAACCTTCAACACCATGTTTGGGAATGTGTTATTTCAGACGTCATTCATCATTAAACGAAATTCAACAACAACTTCACAATAAAGGCGTTACTTGAATATCATTGTTACTGTAATGTATTCATTTGTCGCTTAGAAAAAATAAAATATATACCCTGAGACCCTCTGAATGCGGGAAAACATTAAATCATAACACTACTATATAATGATCTTCGCACTAAAATTCCATTTTCTTCTTTTTTTCTCAATTCTGGGAATCTAAATAGTAATTTGTTCATTGCCTATTGAGTATATTTATGGAACTTCTGTATTTCTACTGTTACTTTCACACATTGTGGTGATCTATTCACAGGTACATGGTTCCTACTACAAGACTTTGCTGTCTTCGATTTGTTACGTTTTGAAATTGAAATAGAGTACGTTCGTATTATGAAAGTGTTATTATTGTGATCAGGCCTTTGTACTGTAATTCCTCCAAACAACTACACCCGTCCCCATTCCCAAACCACTTGCGAAATGTTACGATTAAGCCAAAACATGAAATAGGTATCGCATTATTCAGTCAGTGTCAGGTTCAATAATGCAAAACAAAGTTTGGAGTTGACTGAGGGGAGTTTGGTGTTAGCGCTGAGCATTCATCTGGCTTCAAAGCCTTGGCGTCGACCTCTCTGTTAAATGGTGTCATTTGGCATTTATTTGTTGAATCCCTGTGCTGTACATTAATATGTGAACATTGATGCAATAGATATGAATATTGTATAATTGTGAATTCGTATACAACTTTGCAAATAATATGATCTAATGAATTCCATGCCTTCCGCATTGAAATAAGCCATTAAATGAATATGCCGTTGAAAGTTGAAACGAAAAAGTGGTAACGTCAAAATAACTCTTATTCAATGCTTGTATCATTGTTGAATAAACCATGGGCTAGTAGGGAAATTCCCTTTTGAATAAATCAACACAATTGGAACCCTGAGTGATTCTAACGGCGTCATAACGGAAGTGTGGCATTGTTTCATTGTTTACAAAACTTTTGTATATTTTCGCGTGGAAGGTCAATCACGCTTGCGTGAGATGTTTGTATAAATCACTTTTGTGGATATTAAATGGGAAAATCGAGTACACTGTCCGCTGGCCCATGGGAGACAGCTGATGAAATTTTCCAAATGATCGATTATTTATAGATATATGATTTCATCTGAAAATTAAACGATGATATATATGTTGTACTTTCATTTAAATAAACATATCACATTTCATTTAAACGCTGAAGACAACAATTAACAGGTGAATAATTTGAAGTCGAACATCTGGTTGGTGGTTAGTTACATTTTAATATATTAAATTGACTACTATGTATTTAAAATATTACATGTTACAAACTGGAAACGAGGAACTGAAATGCCAGATGGTATAAGAAGAATGTATATGTCTCAACACCGATTAGATTACACATTCTACTCATACTATGCTAATAAGATGCTAAGTGATCATATTAGGTGATGCAACTTTACAACATACAGACCACTTTCTTTGATACCTTGTCAACATAAATGTTGTTTTTCTCTACTCAGGCATTTGGTGCGACGTTTGTAGTGCTGAATTTTATCCAGGCAACACCTGCCTGTCAAGACCCAACTGATGCCGAACTTCGCCAAAAGCTGAGCAATTATTCCCCTAATGGAATTGGTTTCATTGCAACGAGCAGCGCGAACGCTGCACCAGACGATAGCTCATGTCCACTGACTTACAGCAATGGAGCTCCATTATCAATACGGTCCACTTGCCCATTCTATCACTTACAAAACACCGACACACTGCGATACCCTCCAACTATGCTGGACGTTCAGTGTTATGATTGTGACCAATGTATCTCAGATTTGTGTCCAAGTTATCAACATCCAAAATGGAAATGCGAACGTGTTATGCAGATTTTATACGGAAGTGTGTATCAACGGTGTATACCAGTATAATGCAGTTCAGACTAACGTTGCTGTCTCCTGTGCTTGTGGCAGGAAACGTATTTGATTGGCTGTTGATTCAGTCACCGATGTCAAAATTCAAACTGAACGATTATGACCGTAATTTAGAATTAATTTGCTTTCATTTCAGACAATATACATATTATCTTTATTATACTTGCCAATTTGGTAGCGTAGGTGCTAAAATACTTAAAACTGACTACTTAGTTCAACGAATCACTGTAAACGAAAAATTAACTCACCCAGCATTATTTGGACAAAATAACTATAACTGCAAGTATTGTTGTAATACTGCTAGTTGGGTTGCGTTTTACGTTCACAGTTACTATTATTAACAATCATAATGACATTACTGTAACATTAATTTGCTTTTTAGCTATCGAATTTGTAATCATTTTTCGCAAGGTCGATATCTCTTCTCCTTCTGAGCATGCGTGGTTTACACGTTCATTATATGACATTATATGCTTGGCAGTAAGTTCGAAAATCTTCATTCGTCAAAACATTATTGATTAACGAGACAACTAAGACAACAACACTGTGAACAACAACGGAATGATTATATTATTTATATTTTTATTCAGACAATGTTATGCGTACGCACAGTAGTCACGTTTTAGTGACAATTCTGTCGTTTACATTAACAATTTCAAAAGGTAGATCGAATCTAATTTAACCGAGAACTACATTCTTCGAACATTTTCTTATTTACATGGATCTGATATTGTTTTATATTTTTATTTGTTTTCATGAATACTTCAGTACTGAATAAACATACTATTGCATGCATACTCAAGTTCAAGTCAAATGTGGCGATTAATTTTAAATGATTGAAATTATCTTTTCTACACAACGTTTTCTCCCGTTCATGTGTGCTGCTGGCGCTGGCTTTTTTTTCCTGCTCTTCCTATTTTCAGTTATAATGCAAATGAATGGGCATTGTATACATTTCAAACTAAATTGTTGAATATAGTAATGAAATGGGTCTAATTCGAACAAACGAAAAT